GAAAGAGGGAAGAGAGAGAAGGAAAGAGGGAAGAGAGACAAAGAAAGATGGATGACAAAGAAGGAAAAAGGGGAGAGAGAGGGGGAAAGACGGGAGGAAGAGAATAGAAAAGTAGAAAAGGAAAGAGGGGAGGAGAAGAGGAGAGAAAGAGAAGCAAAGGGAGAAGTCGGAGAACAAAAACAGGGAGGGAGAGAAGGTGAGAGAAAGAGAACAGAATAAAACAGAAGTGAAGAAGAAAGGAAAACGGGAAGGAAGAGAAGAGAATCAGAGAGGCGAAGGATTAAAAGAAAGAGAGAAAAAAAACAAGGGAACAGACCCATAGGGAGAAGAGGAGAAATAAGAAAAGAAAAAGGAGAAGAGGAGAAACGGAAAGGAGGGGAAGTTCAGGAGAATAGGGATGGGGTTCGGGTGGGGGTGGGGGGAGAAGGGGAAGGGAGAGGGGGGGGGGAATTGTTGCGTGGTCTGGTGCGTCTTCGGTTCATCAGGGAAGCGCCGGGGTCAGAGGACGGCTGAGTGCATGTGCAGTCGCGTTGATGTTTTGTTGTTGTTTTTGTTGTTGTTGTTGTTGTTGTTGTTAGTGGTGGTAATGTTGTTGTTTGTTTTTTGTTAGTTGGTCCTGATGCTTGTTGTTTTTGCCGTTTTACTGTTTTTACGTGTTCCTGTTGTTTTTTGTCTGAGGCAGTTTTCAATACCGAGTTGCCTATCTTTCTACCAAGACAAGATAGCTGTGAAATAAAATCGCGGACTTCTACGTAAAGATATGAAATCATAAAGGAAAAGAAAAAGAGAGAAAAAGAGAAAAAAATAGAGCGAGACAAAGCATCCTGTGGAATAATATACCAGCGTATACATATTCACACAAAACCCACTACATATTTCATCCCTCTCTCTCTCTCTCTCTCTCTCTCTCTCTCTCTCTCTCTCTCTCTCTCTCTCTCTCTCTCTCTCTCTCTCTCTCTCTCTCTCTCTCTCCCCCCTTTTCACAAACTTTTTTTCTCTGTTTTTCTCGTTCTCTCTCACATTTTCCCCTTTCTTTTTTTTACCTTTCTCTCTCACCCATTCCCTCCCCCTCCTCCTCCTCCCTATACCACTTACCCCCCTCCCCATACCCTATCGCCACCCCTACCCTCCCCCCCCTACCCGTCTCATCCACCCCATACCCAAGTCATAGCTCCTGATTGCCCCATCACTGCTTGCAATCTTGGCATGATGGTGCTGTTGCATGCAATCCTTCTGCGCCCACTGCAGAGGATGTGCTGATGTCATAATTTCAACTTTTTCCTCCCCACAAACTGCTGTATCTTAAAGAGATTTTATGCTATTCATCAAATGCTTTCAATTTTCTTTGGATAAGTATGGTTTTATGTGGTTTCTCTCTCCTCCCCCCCTTTATTCTCTTCTTCTTCTTTCCCCTCTTTTCTTTCCCCTTTCCACCATTCCCCTTCGTGACCTAACCTCGTCGCCTTCTTTTTCTCTACCTTCTTCTTCCCTTCTTCTTCTTCCTTCCTTCTGCCTAAGTTCTAAATTTCCCCTCTCTCGTTCCTCTAACCTCCCCTCTATTGACATTTTTTTTCTTCTACGCCCCTCCTCGTCCCCTCTCTCTCCAGCTCTTGCCTAACCTTCCCCTAATGCTCCCCCCTCTTCCCCTTTTCTCCCTCCTCCCTTCTTGCGCCCTCTCCCACGTAGCCTCCACCCCCCCCCCCAACATGCCCTTCCTTCTATGACCTTCACTCTGTGACCTTCACTCCTCTCCCTCCTCCTCCTTTCCCTCCTCCTCCTCGCTCTCCTTCCCCTCCTCCCCCTCGCTCTCCTTCCTCCCCTCCCCCCCTCCTCCTTCCCTTCCCTCCCCCTCCTCCTTCCCCTTCCCTCCCCCTCCCTCCTACTCCTCCTCCTTCCCCTCCCTCCTCCTCCTCCTCCACCTCCTTCCTCTCCGCCCCCCTCTTCCTCCTCCTCCCCCTCCCCAACTCTTACCTAACTCCCCCGCCGCCGTCGAAGGGGAAGAAACCCGCTAAGGACACCTAATGCCTTTAGCGTCTTGGGAGGGGGGGGGGGGTGTGACGGAAGGAAAGGAGAAAGAAAAGAGAGGGACGAAAATGATGGAGAGGGGGATAGGGGGAAGAGGAAGAAAGGGGGTGAGGAGGAATAGAAAGAAAGGGGTGGGGGTTTGAAAGAAAGGTAAACGGAGGTGGAAAGAGAGAGAGAATGAGGGAAAGAGAGTGAAGGGAAGAAGAAGAGGTGCAAAGAGAAAGAGAGAGGGGGGGAGGAAAGGAGAGAGAGAGGTGGTAGAGTGGAAAAAATAGTGAAAACAAGAAGAAAAAGCAGTGAGTGAATGGGAAGCCGAAAAGGGAATGACGGACGTGAGAGAAAATAGACACGCGCGCACGCGCACGCACACACACACACACACACACACACACACACACACACACACACACACACACACACACACACACACACACACACACACACACACACACACAGAGCCACACACACACACACA